CACACATACACACGCATTCTAATATAAGGCTGTATACATATCTATATATAGCTAGAGTCCAAGTACAGGCCATCTGCAGGCAAAACTCTGGAAAACATATTACCATTTTCATGTATAAATACATTTTCTTTATTTATTTTATTTAAATTTTAAACAAAATTCCGACAGTATTACTAATAGTAAACTAAAACCTTTTTGGATCAGAAGCCAAAAAAAATGTTTGCTTACATGACATTACAATACACGTTAAAAAATACTGCTGTCACTGATGAGTCACACTGTTGGTAACTTAAAGTCCAGTATTTTTAAATTTAAAAAACAGTGTCAATTTTTTTTGTAGAAAAAAAATCACAATTTTTCTGCCCACAAGTATGCACCCAGGACTGACTTGTTGTCTATGAATTCAAGCTGCCAGCTATGAGTTAGTATGTTTTTGTAACCATATCCTGTCAAATCAAGTTTCACAACAGCCTAGTCCCTGGACATTAACTACTAGTATTTTGGAATTTCAGTGGACATCTTAAGAGATACTGTAAATTGAAATGATTTCTCTTATTTTAAATATGTCTCATAACTCCCTAGACAAAACTTTTCATAATCAGACATCCAAAAATGGAAAAGATCTATTATATCATTGTGTTTAGCTTGTGGTGGGGCAACTTTGATTTCTCACACACTTTTAAAATGCTTCTTCCAGGTACTGCTGAATGTCTCAACAGATGGAAATTTTACAACTTCCATTGGAAGAGAATTCAAATCTAACAAACTTCAGCATTAAGAATGTTTCTACTGTCATTCAACTAAAATATTCCTTTCCTTGGCTTCACCTACTACCCCACTTCTGTTCAAATACTCTTTTTCCTATTCATTATTTAGAAACTTAAAATGCTTGCAGCTGCAAAGTACATATAGGCCAAGGAACTTTGATACCCAATTACTCCTGTATGTTGTTTTATTTATTTGAAAACACAGGAAATGAAATTAATTAATTTTAACAAAAGTGTAGAAAATGGAAAGTTTCACTCTTCTGCAATTTTAGGACAGACTGGTGCAGCAATGGTAAATTATAGATATGAAACGTCATCTTTCGATTCTTATTACAGTACAAGGCTAAAGAGCTGTTCAGTTATTTTGGCTATGAACATTATAAATCATTCCTAGACATATCATAACTGAGTCACTGGTAATTCTATTAGAAATGAGTAAACTAGTACAGAAAATATGGCATACCAGGAGACAGCAGGCTGCTGGTTGAGGCAGCAGCAGCTACCTGTGCTGGATGGCTCCCCTCCCACTATGTGGCAGGTGCTCCTGGGCCACACAAGGTCCCTGGGCCCCTCCAGACCCCAAACCCCTAGCTCCCTCAGCCCTATAGGGCATGCCTTGCTCCCCGAAGCACAGGTGCAGGAAACAGAAGCTGGAAGAGGAAGGAGTAGCCCAGAGTTTCAGGCGGCAGCAGCAGCTGAATTCATGCAGGTACCCCTGGACCAACAGTGTAGGGGCCACAGGTTAATGATGCATTAGACAGCCCTGCTATAAATAATATATATGTATAATATCAAGATACTAAAGACTATATGCAGCAGCTCACTTGCCCTAAGCCAGGTCAACTACTGCTTCAGGCACAAGCTACATTGCTCAGCCAGTACATACTGTGCTTGTGAGAAGGCTAACATAGAAACCCAGTGCTTCTACTTGCTAGGGCTAGTTAGAAGTGGCAGCCCTTTTGGCAGCCACTGAAGTACAGTGTCTGCACATTTCTATTCCTCTCTGTTTTTATTCCAGTGAAGAAAAATCAGGTTCCCCACTTAAGACATATGGACAATTTTAGAGAGCTGTTCTTTGAGGAAAGGGTGTGTATAGTATGTGAGTAAATGTGATATAATGAAAAGCACTAGCAGAAATTCATACTTGGAAAATATAAAAACAGACATAGGACCAGATTGCAACCTGCCTCTAAGGTAACTCAACCCAGACATCAAAATGCATAAAATGTGGGTGCCATGGTGCAGGATTAGGCACCTAGGCTTTCTATACAGTGAAGAGATCTAAATGGCTCCTAAAGGCGATCCAGAACATCTATTCACTATGCAGGGAGGTGCCTAGTATAGGAAAAGTAGGGTATGTTGGAAACGCCTTCTTTGGCATCAGACTTGGGGATGAAAGGAAGACATCTCTCATGTTGGAATAGAGATCAGTATGAACCAGCATACCTAACTAACAGCATCATGGAGTGCAGTACATGCCCAAGAAGTCTAACTGCTGGGTTCTAGGCTCTCCTCACCCTGAAAAAATTCAAACCCACATCTCTTACATCCCAGGGGAGGGTCCAAATCACCAGGCAATGGGTAAGGCTAGAACTTCTCTGCAAAGCCTGAGATAGTAGAATATTAGCAATGGCCTAACCCAAGTCAGCTCGGTAAGAATAAGGAAAGCTAAAAAAAGGAAAGCATCATTTAGCTAAAATAAATGGAAACACATAGCTCTCCCTTCAGAAGCTCATCTCAGATTGAGAACTATTTGGCCCAGTCCAATCCAGTATGAATTTTGAATAAGTGTTCTTAAAGTTTGACTCATATTCCAGTTGCAAATGGAATCCTTGCTAAATCTTTCCAAAAGCTCCTCTGTTGGTTTGGCATACTAACCAATGTAATTTGTTTTTAAGATTAACACTTAATTTTATAGCAAAACCAAAACAAAACAGAATTTCTTCCCCCCACCCCCCAAAAAACCCCCCTGCTTCTGTGTTTTTGCCAAAAATTGTGTCTTATGGGACATACCACAGGGACCGTCACTTAACCTGAGGATTAGATCTGGGAAAAACAAAATTCTTTTTCTATTATGCAGAAACATCTGTTTTTTTCAAGAGGCAATCAGGTTCCTTTGTTTCTCAACTCAGGTCTGAGACATGGAAAATTATCATCCTTTTAGCATCCATGGTCTCAGAACATTTGCTCTGGATACTTTTAGGCTCATGCAATAAATAAGGGGTCTTCTGTCATATCCAAGACTCAAGTCTTCAGCAGACTGTTTGAAAGACAGGAAAGGCTTTGAGATCTTTTCAGCACCCTTACTTAATGAACTGAATGCTAAATTTTCTATACTGTAATTCTACATTTTCCTCCTCTTTATTAAGAAGTTAAAAGCTTATTATGGCTTAAATGAGCATTCATGATTCTGTAGGCTGATATCAGGAAGCTGGACTAGATGACCCCTGCAGGTCCCTTCCTGCCCTACTTCTCTATGATTCATTGCTGTCAGTTTTTTCTGTCCTTGGTTCTACATCTAGGGCCAATATATAAGATGAGTAGATCAAAATTCATCTACTAAGGAAACTAAAGCTTCCTGTAAGTACTGCAATTCATAGCAAAATTTAGGCCATTGGAGGTATTTTTATAAGAGAGTAAAATTATCCAGCAACTGATATGAAAGAAAATAGCAAACAGAAACAAAAACAACTTGGAAGTTCTACAATTTACTCTACTTAACTAAGTCAGATCAGCTTTATAGAAATTCCTTCAAAGCCTGAACACTTCCACAGGAGCAGGAACAGATCCAGCACGAATTTAGTAATTCTTTCAACTAAGTAATCTGCACTACAGATTGGTCATTCAATGTAAGAAATGTTTGACCGACACGTTAACAGAAAAATCTCATGGGTATCCATATATTATCAGGTTCTTCACAGAATGCTGTCTCCAGTATATTTGTGTGGTAATATTGGTTAGTCTAGTGGCATCAACAGATAGCATAAACCTGAGGCTTATATAGTTCAGGGTCCCAGAAGACAGAGAATAAAAATAACTCATTAGCCAAAGAAAAAGACAAATAGTTTCATGCCAAAAGTGAAAAAACAAACAAATGAAAAACCCTAGTGTCATGGTTACATAACTGAATGTACATGACCAAAGGGCCTCCTGGAAAATGATCTGCCAAAAGCAGTCCTGGAATCACTGCATATAGCATCATGTACATGAACCTGGAGGAGGGCAAAATTAGTATATTTTTTTGTTTAATTAAAGACCAAAAGTGTTTCAAAGTATGAACTGCAAGAGGCAAGAAAAATCTATTGAATGGGTTATGTTTTACCTGTATCATATACTACTGACTGGAGTAGATAGGAAATTTCAGAAAAGCTTCTATATATCTGAGTGTGACAAAGTTGCTCTTGACTTCAGCATATGTTTCTGGTTGTTATGTCTGGGAATTTTCTGTACTGACTTTTCCCTATGTCCAAAAACAAATTCCAGTATGAAATATCTGGAAACTTTTCAATTATAATACTTGGTTTCAATTAAAAACCACACATGGATTCATCAGCTTGATACTGCAAGAAACCAGGCTTGTGGGCACAGATCGCAGCTGGATTTGACACAGTTCATGATCCAGTTTGTACAGTGGGCACCACTGAAATCTTGATATTTATTGTATTATTGTAGTGATCATCATGGTAACACCTTGTATTCCTGTGCTTAGAACGAAGAGTACAACTGATGGGGAAAGCATTCTGATCATTAAAACCAAGAAAAAAAGTACAAAAATATGAAATGGAAACCCCATGTGTACAATTAACATACACCATTTACAATATTCCTTTTGTTTCACAATGGAATAGGCTTCAACGTTTTAACTTGTATTTTGGGCCATGATGTAATGTACAATTAGTCTGACCTAAAAAATATTGAGATGAACAATTTTGGTACTGAATCAAAAACAATTATTCCAGCAACTGTAATAATAGTTCAGTGCTAATTTACTTGTGCATCAGAGGAAGAATGAGTGGTGCTCAGTAGTGGGCTAATGTTGTAATGTCTATTATGTAGCATAGCCCTGATGCAAACCCATTGAATTCAAGTGAAGACTCCCATTGACATCATTGGATTTTAGACATTTCCTATCCTTTTTTAGCTCTTCTCTTAGTGCTTCTTTCCTTTTAGGGATTAAAAAAAATGTAAACAGATATTAGGAAATAAGTGCCTTTAATACCAGTAAAATCTTACCCTGTAGAACGCAGTTGTCAGAGTCAGTAATGCTGCAGCAATGCTGTATTCTTCTGAAGTTGAACAATCCTTCAAGAAAGGCATATACATAAAGTTAGTCACCATGACACACTCATGGTCTATCTACATTTTTAGTGTTATGTAACAGATATACTTTAGTGTTCCCAGTGGTGCTGCTGAGACTATCTTCTTCCTTTTTAACTACCTCCTAAATGAGACCATATAAGCATTATCACGTAATTTAGGCTTTTTTTAATATATGTGTTTTCTACATTCTTGTTGCTGGAGTGGAATCCTAACCTCCTGTCGCCTGGGAGAGGCAATGCTGATGCATGGATCAGCATGCCTGCCCACCCCACCTCCCCTGCAGCCTCAGCTCCTCTCTTCCCACTAGCCTCTGCTCTGCTTGTCCCTCTCAGTCTCTGCTCCTGCACCCTCACTTCTCTCCAACCTCTGCTCCATGCTGGCCGGATCCATCCCTATTCTAGCTAGAGGCACTGAGCACAGCCCCACTCCATTCTCCATAGCAGCTGCTACTATGGGGCCAGACTGGGGCTATGCTTTGTGCCCTAGATTGCAGCGTGCAAAGACCCTGCTGATATGGAACAAGGGTAAAAGTGGGGTAAGAGGCTGCAGGGGGGAGAACAGAGACTATGTGTGTGTGTTGGGGGGTTATGGGGGGTGGGGGGAGAGGCTGCAGGAGGGAACAGAGATGGCAAGTGGGGGACAGGGACAGGCAGCAGCTGCATGTATGCCCCTAACCCATGGTAGGGGCTGGAGCCCAAGCCACAGCAGCCAACTGCCTCCCCCTCCCCCCCTGCCCTGTACTCAATTCTAAGACGAGGTGCTTCTCCCCATGTTAAATGGAGGGACCATGTCTTAGAATCGAATAAATACAGTAAGTTAGCATTCATTTAACATGCTGAAACTAATTTGTACAAACATAATTCCACTACCTGAGTAACTCCCTGATCTGCACCACTGCAACAACTCAGAATAAAGCTCTTCAGTGGCATCCAGTGAGCTATTATAGAGTCAAAATCACACATAGTGAAGTTACTGAAGTTTATGATCCAGCAAAACACTACAGAAAAGTAATGAAGATGCTGGAATTCTTCAAGAAGGGTTTCTGCATGTATGAAGGTATTATCCTAATCTCAAGAAACTGGAACATACAGAAGCCACCTTAAAAGTGCAAGTTCTCAATCACAATAGAATTAAATCAGAATAGAATTAAAAGTAACCTTGAAGGACACTTTTCAGGAGAAGTTTACAAATACTTCAGATACTGACAAATATATTTCATGGCATAAACATAAATAATTGTAATCTGGTGGGAAAGAAACTCAAAGATTTTTTTGTAATGGACTCTGAGTTTATTTCTTACATTTCTACAAAGCTACAGCAAAAAGACAATATAAATGGGTTGCATATTAATGACACTGTGCATGTGGCTATGGAACATCAGTTAACATGCAAGAACAAGCTCCTAAAGCATGACTGAACAACTGCAAGAAGCAAGAACATGGAAGGACTTATAAAAGAAGAGTTAAATCTAGTATTTCCAACAAAGTCAATGAGGAACAAATTGTGCGAGTAAAGTGGCTCAATGTCCAACTCTTTTTGACTTTTAGTGGAATAGTCCTGTAGAATATGATTATGATAAAATTTCTGTTGAATGAATTACAAAAGGCAGGTAATTATATCACAGCCTTTTACACTTGAAATAGCCATACAATACAATCAATTAATAGTATACATGCAATATAAAAACTGATATAGTTTTCATTTTTTACCATCTTTATGCTTCTAAACTGAAAATGTTGGCAGACCTATTTTGTATATAACTGAAGTTACCATTACTTTGTGAAAAAACATAAAGGGACCTTATCTAGCTTTTATATTAGTCAATCTGAATTTGCCATTGACTTCAAGGGTACAGAAGAATTCTCTCTCATAAGATGACATGATGAAATTGATTTTAACCAATAAGAAGTGGTCACCTTCATGATCTCACCAAGACCTTTGGCACATGGTTAATTTAAAAAGAGGTTAACACCATAATGCCCCATACGTCACTCGCACTTCCAAAATGTAAACAAAGCAAAAGATAACATGCCAAAGTAAATCAACCAGTGATTGTATTCAGGATAAAAGTGATCCTGTTATAAAAATTATTTAAGGTAAACCAAGGTTGATATGCATTTTAAAATGAAAAGGTAAAGTACATGAAATTTCAAAACTATTTTTTTAAACTATCAACAGAATTCAGTTAAAAAGTGAGGCAGGCCATAACACTCTTTTGAATGTAATTTATTTCTGCAAATGATTTTTAAAGAAAGCTGAAACTTTTTTTCCCTTTTGCTTACTTTTGCCAACATTTTAGAAGCACAATTATGCAGCTGTTTCTAAATACCAAACGTAGACTTGATGACGAGTGACAGAAAATGTCCAGGAGCACTACCTTTCTCTTGTTTCATTTTAATGCTTGCCATTGGTATTCTAAAATCTAACCCATTCAAATAGCTTTGAGTTATCTATCCAGAATTTCTGATACATTTCTTGAATTCAAATTATTTTGATGATTCCTCTGTCAAAAATTTATTTGTACCTTCACTTGACACATGCTCTCCATTACACTTCTCTCTCACACCTAACTTTTTGCACTTTAATCTGTACTAAATGCAGAACTTCAACTTTTCACTGGTAGGGAGATCTTTGATCACATTGGTCTCATCTTCATAATTTCCTTTTCAGGACTATTCCTATGAACTCTTATACCAGTTTCTATAATACCAGACATACAAATGTTACTTCCCTCAGAGGAACAATCATATTAAAGAATCACAAAAGCCTGTAGCAGAACACTTCAACATCCCTGGACACTCCAATACTGATCTCAGGATTGCTGTTCTCAGGCAAACACATTTTAAAGACTAGTTTGAAAGGGAAACTGCAGAACATGAAATCACCCACAAGCACACCTGTGTTAAGTATGGTTTAAACAGGGACTATGGATTGTTACCTCATACTTAGATTAACTTTTCTGACCCACTTTGCTCTTACAGGTTTACTGCTTGTTTTTCTCTTCCAGCACTACCTCCCCTCCCTCTTAAACTACCTCTCTCCTCCCTTGTATTCTAATTACTCTCTTATATCCTGCTTTCCGAATATCCTTTCACAGCATCTGAAGAAGTGACTTTAGGTTCACAAAAGCTTGTGCTCTCTCTCTAAATATATCTTAGTTAGTCTATAAAGATGCATCTATCTACCCTGCCCTCTGAGTGACTTCAGACTAACACAGCTAACTACCTCTCAAAGAATCACCAAAGCATTGCTAGGCCTAATTTAACAGCTCTTTCTCAGATAAGTCACAATTTACTATTAAATCCTGTAAGTGATTACAGACTACAGCCTGGGTCTCAAGTTGGCAAACCAAAAGGCTGACCTTAAGGCTGTTTTTCCTCTTATAACTGCTTGGGAAGACTGCGTAAATCTGTAGAGCAGGGGTTTTCAACCTTTTTTAAGGAGTGTACCCCTTCTGGGGCAGGGGACTTGCACACGGCGGCGCAGGCTGGTGGGTGGCAGCTCCCCCTTTCCCCTCCATGTCCAACTGGCTGGGCGGTGCCTGTGCAGCCCACAGAGTAGAGCCGCTGCCCTCACCCCCCCACCCCCACTGGTTCTACTCCTGGGAGGCAGCAATGCGGGGTGGTGGGTGGTGGCACTCCATCCCCACACATACCCCCTAGCCCCTTCCCAAGTAGCCCAAAGGGTACGTGTACACCCAGTTGCCAACCCCTGCTATAGAGCTTTCAACAACAAACATGTCAGTGCTCTTTTCCCTGTTCAAATAGTTTACCCCACATGAGTAACACACCAAGGGAACACAGAGTCAGGAAAAATATTTGGCAAACTATTTAGAGCCAAGTTTCTAAAAGGCAGTGTATAAACAAATACTTAGAAATGGGATTTTATTTCTCTAGATTTGGGGCCTGTGTGAACATGAACTGTATGTGGAAATACAGGTGTACAAATGCCATGATTTTTACTCACATACATCACATTGATTGAGGTGGTATTCCTTATAGAAAATGAGAAAGATAGTTAGTAGAGCTGTGTGAAATTTCAATGGCCATTTTGTTTCGATGCTGTTTCAACTCATTTTTAGGTTGAAACAGCAAAATCGAAACAAAACAAAGGCCGTAGAAATAGCTCGAAACAAAACGAGGCTAGTCAAAACATTTCAAAAGTTGAAACATTTCGATCGTAGCGCTGGGGATGGGAAGTCAGTCCAGCTGGGCTGACTTCCCATTCTCTACACAAGATCTGGGGGGTGGAGGGGAGGCAGCTCAAGTGGGCTGCCTCGCCATCCCCCACGCTAGATAGCAGGGGGCAGGCTACTTCCCTGCCCTCTGCATGGTCTAGCATGTAGGCATGGCGAGGTAACCCAGCTTGGCTGTTTCCCTGTCCCCCGCACAATCTAGTGCACAGGGATCGCAAGGCAGCCCAACTGGGCTGTCTCCCAGCTCCAGAGCGATCTGGGGAGCCCCCTGCTCCCTCCCAGCCCTACGGCCTATGCAGCTCGCACACGCACACACCTGCCAGCAGCTGCCAAGGCCCACATGCAGAGCACGTGATCTCCCAACAGTCAATCAGCTTCTGGTGGTGCCCCCAGCCCCAAGCAAAAGCAGAAGCAGAAGCAAAGCAAAAACTTGGACATTTGATTGCATTTTAAAAACCTGCTTGGACAGAGGACAAGGGGCCAAAAAAGATGATGTGTCTGGGAAAGCATGGACATATGGTAACCTGAGTTAAGTATGGTCTCAACAGAGACTCTGGATACTTATCCCATTAGCCAGAATATGCTAATCCCATTAGCCAGTTTTTTTATATACCTAAGGTCCCTCAGTAGGTTAACTGCTTTGTTTTTCCCTTTAGATCTCTTCAACCCATCTTCAGCTTTCTCTGCAGTGCCATCTCCCCTATCTTTTCTTCTTTTCCCTGTCCTTTGTATTTAAATTACTTTATTGCTTTCTATTTAGTACTCCTGCTCTCTGCAAGTCCATTCG